ACGTTAAGCCCTAGCTAATTAGCATTGACCCAACTCCATTTCAGCCATGCCTCTCTCTCTATCTCTCTCTCTCTCATTGTGGTTGCCACAAACCAGATTCAATGACCTCGGAAGTGTGTTGTCCTCCGTAGACAACCTCCGATCCGGGAGATCACAGAGAGAGAGATGCAATGGGAAGGCAATGATTTACATTGTAAATATGCTCTCTAAGATTAAAAGATTCACAACCAATTAAAACAAGAGATGCATGAATTGTTACGATAAAGTCTCGTTCTTTTAGATGACAGATGGTCCAAAACATAGTAGTAGTCAAATCGTACACGCAATGCAGGTGTTTCGAAGTGTCAAACCCTAGGATTGTCATTGTTCCTCTGTCTCTTAACAAGGATGATTCCTATGCATTTTTCTCCCTTCTGCTGCCAATAGACTAGGTTTTGGTGTCTTCTTCTGTAATGTTTTCAAACAATGTACCAATATTCCTTTTAAGAATGCTAATTATGTCCCCATAATCGCCACCGGCGGTTTTGTTTGCTGGCATTACCATCCAATTACAAGGCTGGATTTTGAATAGACATTGAAAGGTGACTTCGAAATCCAACCTTGCGTTAGGAGGTGTGTCGTATTTTGCGAATTATTACGAATTTTATTACGGTGGGAAGGAGTTTAGGTCAATTGGGAAATGGTTTGTCAAACGATGATGCAAAGTTCTTGTTGTTTTTTCTGGTATTCTACTAATATATTCCGCGGCATCGTAGACGTAGAAGCAATCGGGCTCTCTACAGTCTGAGAAATGATAGACAAGATTGAATTGACCTTGTTTTTTTTTTTTTACTATCATGTGAAGGTGGCTGTAGAATGTATGCTGCTCCAAGACCAAATCCCTCACGCTAACCCCTGAACTTGAGCTGATGAGCAGCATCAAACTCATCTACGGATGTATTTTTATAGTTAATTCATGCTATACGAAAATAGCAATCGATTTTGTTCATTTGAGTAACGGTTGTCCATGAATGTATATCTACCGGAGGAGGTATTACTTTAATATCATCTTTAATAATCCGGCGGCAAGTCTCCCAAAAAATACTTTGAGTAACCACACAAGGTGGTGACTATTTGAGGGTGTGTGTTCAATTATGAGTCGCTCAACATGATCTCTCCTATTTGATGTGGAATTCGGGATGTCATAGTTTAAGAATTAATATAGTCAAAATAGTTTTGTCGAACTTAATGATACTCCATATAATATCATTGAACATCTTTACTTCAATTGGGTTAATGCGCTTCGACAATAAAATATTGAGGGTGCTCGATTGAAGATCTACATACTACTCATATACATTCAAATACAAACTATACATAATTTCTCAGTAAGAATTTGAGTCCGACATAGTTTTTCCTTTTAAAACACGTTTGTTTAGTGGAAAATTCCTTAGAAATGATTCTTCATGTTACTTAAGAAATGTTAATTAACGAAAAATGCTTTCATTGTCAATAATAATCTATGCTGAAATATTTTCATAGATTATGAGAATAGTGTTCTTTAGTTCATTTTCACGATGGATACAATCGATCATTTTTTTAAGAAAATAATTTTTAAATCGTTGATTTTTCATAAAAGCATACGTATTCGCGTGTTCTTAATTGACTCGGTAGTTGTTCCATCGTTGCCAAAACCAATCAAGTGAAAATATTATTATAAATATATATGACCAGAAAAAGGTCTATCTTGAATTTTGGGTTCGATTGAAACAAGGGTACTCGGCTTGTCATGCATTGTGGCAACATAAAGCTAACTTGTTTCTTTGGAAAAAAAAATCACATGTAATTGACTTTGACATTTCTGAGACATCCACAGGAATTGGTCAATATGTTTGGCTCGGATTAACTTTAACGTTACCCAAAATTATATTTTTTTGCCCCAAAATAATGTCACCCGAATCACCATCTAATTCTTGACTAGGATGAAGTCTCCTTGGGCCAATCTTTTCTTCCTTTCCTTGTGAATCAACGGGTAAGTGGAAAGGTCAATACCTTCTCGAGTAGAACATTGGTTTGCTAGAGACTCGATAGGTTCTTTGAATTCACCCAATTGCATGGCGTAGTGAGACTAGAATTAGGTTTGCTTTTTCACCAAATTATCTTGAAATCGGGCGTCTTTGAACTATCGGACGCCAATTGGGGACATACATGGAAGTCATGTTGGTGGAATTCCCTAATTTTGGTTTGATTTCAAAGTGATTTTTCTAACAATCTCCATGTGCTTGGCTAGAAAAGAATCGTGTAGCATCCACTTACTAGTTGTCATAAATCAATTGAACCCAGGAGAAACTTTATGCACGCATCAATAGTGAATTCCGACGACCCAACTTTGAAAATGAGAAGCTAATCATCATGTATATCGAATTGCAAAAGCCCATAAATTAGGGTCCCTTTTTGCTAATTGGCTTTTTGAGCCCTCTCAATCCCTTTGGGATCTATTATGTTTAGATGCTAATTGTTGTTGTTCTTCTAGTTCTGCTACTTAATGCGAATGGTTTGTTTCGAAAAAAAAAAACTTTGAAAATGAGAAGAATGATAAAACCCTAAAATCGTTAGCTTCGATATTACAATTATTACCTCTTTATATGTTCTCAAACCAAATCAGAGAAAATACTGTCTAATATACCATATCACAAATCTAGACACAGACCCGACCACGTAGAAGATACACATAACATGCCGAATACGTGAATTATTTGCTGAATATATGTATTGATGATATCCTCATAATATCAGAAAAATATCTTTAACGACCCACTTGAAACGAATTGTTTTTTAATGCAAGTTACTCGTGTATTTTAAAATTTAGTATGAATGTGATTAGATTTGGAATCTTTGCTTTTAGTTTTATATACTGGGGATCCTGGCTTTACCCTCCATGTTAACTTCGAAGAGAAAATATGAAATTTGTTGGGCGCATACTACAAACTAATCATATCAGAGATGATCAGCTAAACATTTTCGGGAACCAAAGTTCAATGCAACAGTTCATTGTGCTTGTGGATGACTTTTACTTAGGCTAAACTTGAAATTCTTTCGCTCAATGCGCATTAGATTGAGTTGCAATCCGCACATTTTCCTTTAACCAAAAATCGATCTTACCAAGTTAATTGGATGAATGTGAAAGGACTTTGTCAAAGGAACGAGTCATGCATCTTACTTTGACGAGTGAGTCGCAGACTTCTAGCACCTCAGTGGGAATACGGCGACTATGCCTGCTTACATCAACCGCAGAGGTTGCGAGCGAACCTCGGCGATGACCTCCCCATAGTCTCGTATTCACGATCATGCGAAAAAAGAAAAAAAAATAGCGACCCAGGTTACCTCCTTTCATCCTTTTCTTTTTTAACTAGCAAAAATGTGAGAGAAAAAAGAGTAATCAAGAAATCAAAAGATAGACACAGTGTAACTAAACATTCAAACCTAGTCACAAACACAAACAACAAATAAGAGTAATGTAGCTAAGGTTGTCATCGTGGTCCACGTCCCCAGTAGTGGACCACATAGTCATTAGGGGATGTTGCCAATTCTAGGTTCATGCAAACGAAATCCGACCCATCTTTTTCCTAAGGCTACAAAGTTTATGATTTCCTAGGCTTCCCCCCTCGAAGACTTTCCCCTTCAACATCTCCCTAGAGCTGAATTGAAAAACAGAACAAGAAGAAAATCGAGCAGTAGACACTAACTAATTGATGTCTTACTCTAACAAGCCCTGATTTAGATAGGCTTATCATTACTCTGATATCGACAAGGGTTGGTGGTGAGGCTGAGGACTGAAGAGGCTAACCCTAGGTTGTCGTCTGAGGAGGCGTGCCTCTTCTAGCTCAGCTTCTGCTAGCGGTACTGTCTCTTGTATTGTTTAGGGCTATTACTTAGAAGGGGCCGAGTTGATGGGCTGATTACATCGGACTCTCTTGCGACAAAAAATGCATGGAATCTTAGGTAAACGCATTAAAAAGTGCAAAGCATATCATGCACGTATCAACCTAGTCTACTCATATGCTCATCTTGCAATAATGTAATTCGATCTTGAATAATATTTTGGATCCGAATCCAAAGTGCTGGAAAAGAGGGGGACAATGCATCAAAGCTATTGCCTCAAGCCACAGCGATCAAACTTTAATGAAACCGGAATGATTCAAGCCGCAATGAATTGTGCTTGTTTTTAAATGATTTTATGAAGTGCAATATGAGATTTCAAGATTGATGAAGTTGTTGAGGAAAATTTTCCAGAGAATCATACCATACTTCGTTTCTTTCCCTTTTGTGAATATCTGTTCTATTTCCGTCTTCAGAGTTAAAGGGAAAGACTGGAATGACTAGAATTGAATCCAATCGACCCTACTTAACTGAGCATCGTGCCTATGGCGCAATGCAGAACCTGATGCAGGGGGTAAGAACCGATTAACCAGGTAAGCTCGTGTAACTCACCAGAATGCCATTTACCCCCTTCACCTACTCCTGAGGGAAGCTCGTGGTTTAATCGACTTATGTATTGCTACGAGGAATTGTTCTCATAACAAAGGCAATTGCCTTCTACCTTTCTGCTGATAGAAACTTGAGCAATCTGCATTTTTTAACATGAGACGACCAACCAAATCCAACTGGTCCGATATTTGAATACCAAGAACACCCGAGCAACGGTAAGTCCCTTCAGGAAACAGACAGGTCTAATGAAGGAGAAACACCAGAAGAGATGCAAAAGATAAAAGTTCTCTAGTTTTCAACAATCCACACCAGTTTTCAGAAAAGTAAATGCGACACTCACGCAGGCAAAGACCAATTAGTGGCTGAAGTGCCATTATTACATTGAGGCTTTAGGGAAGAGTTGTAAAAACTCGTGTTAAAATGCTTTTAACATAGCTAAACTCTATTACTCCAAGAGTGAATAGTGCAGTTAAAAAACCATGCCATCATGCCATCTTCTGTTGATCCATAGAACTTAACCTGTACAATACTCATTATTGGAAAGAAATAAATTCACTGAAATTCCAACATGCTCACTCAGGAACTAATTTGTTTCTGAACCTCTTGACAGTTTAAAGGCATAAATTAAAAAAGATGAAGAATGATTAAAGGTTAATCAGGTTGAACTTGAACCTACCTAGTTCTAAAGCATTCCAAAGTATTTCCTACAATACACTAAAATCGAAACAGAAAAATGCTAATAGAGAGAGTCATGCAATGCATTCTACTTTTGAAAGCAGCCCCCAAGAGAGTATACTTCAAGATCCATACTGTTTAGCATCTCCTGTGCTGATTGAGAGGTGTCTTCAAGTACCTACAAGCAAACACAATGTTAATGATCCGTGTTACCAAGAATCCTTCCAACATTGATCAGCAGTTATGACAAGAGAAGGGGGCGATTGTTAGGCGCTACACTAATTTAATAGTGTTCAGCTTCTTTCACAAAGGGAGCGTGACATAACAAAATTCCTATAGCATATGTCTCAGAATTTCTTGATGTTCTAGTGCAGTTCTGACCCTAGCTCAGAAACAGAGCAATCTTTCGGAGCAAATGAATATAGTGGTTCATTGACGAGACAACCCATACAAATGGTGAAATACACATTAAAATGTTGCTGATCAGTGGTTACATCTTTCGTTGCCTGGTATCTCCTTCTACCAATTAAAAGCATTGATTAGTCCTGAACATATGTGAGCCTGCTTTTGGCGCTTCAGATATTGGTCTCGATAATAATTATATAATAGGATGTCACAGTAGAGCAGTTTCAGCTTCCGGAGACATTGCAGCAAGCTCCAAATCTAAGCTAAACACAATGCAATACAGAATTTCTAGGCTGGCTCTAGCAAACAATGTGAGAGGTATCTCCAAGACATTGCGTCTAAAGGAGGGATAATGAAAATGACCCCAGAATCTTATGACAACAGTGTGGTTGCGCACTAGTCAGTATATTCACAGTACCACAGACAATCAAATTAAAATTGCTCTACCTCGACAAAAAAAAAAATTGAACAGATGCATATCTGTATTTTGGTCCCTCATACCAGATGCCTTACAGAGATTTCATTTCACATGCATCCACGTAAGGAATCCAACCAGCAAGTTTACCCTCCAATAAACCTTGGAGCAAACATTTAGGGACTTCAAACAAACGAATTTTTTCCGCAGCTGACAACCTTGAGAAATTTTCAACTACTCCCTTCTCGGGATGGTCTCATAGACCTTTCAAACCAGTCCATTAGCAAGATATAACTAAGCAAATCACACAACCGGAAAATCAAACCACAAAATCATCAAATACTTCCTTAAGCTACTAAACCTAAGTTCTGACTCTCTTTCGTAATTTTCCTTTGACTCTTTCCCGGTATAAACATAGCCCTAAAATCACTCGAACTTTTTACAGGATTGGCTTCTAAATTCTGCACAATCCCTAGCATTTTAACTAAGTCTTGATTTTCATCACATACTTGGGATTCACTCCTCACACCCAATAAACAAGATCAACAACACCAGACACAATGCACCGATTCTAATCACCAGAACAAGACAAGCACAGAGGAAAAGGTTGCAAATTACCCTGAGACAACTCGCAATAAGCGCGCTTCGAGTTACACGACTGGCTTCTAAAATTCCCGCACCATCCCCAGCATTTTCACTAATTCTTGATTTTTATATGTTTGGAACTCACTCCTCACACCCAATAAACAAGATCAACAACACCACACGCAATGTACCGATTCTAATCACCAGAACAAACAGGTACGGAGGAAAAAGGGTTGCGAATTACCCTGAGACAGCTCGCAGTAAGCGCGGGCCTCGAGAGAAATGTGGGAAGTGAGCCTGGAGGAAGCCAACGTGCTGTGCAGCGGCATCAGCGACTGAACGCATCCCAATTGCCCCAAATTCCTAACGGAAAACCAATCGCGGAGCACGAAACTCATCCACTTTGAAACCGGAAAAAACACGAGCTTTCTACAGCGAGAAAGGAGGAGGAGGAGAAGAAGAGAAAGAGAACCTCGGGACGGTGAAGAGAGGACGGCGAGAGTGGAGGCGGGGGATCTGGGGAGGCCGCCCGCGGGGGAGAGATGAGGAGGACGACCGGAGCGCCGACGATCTTCCGGCCTGAATCAGGGATCTCGACAGCGATCCGTACCGAGCCGCCATTTTCTCCGGGGGACAAGGTGCGCGAGCAGAGCAGCGACTGTGGAGAGACTTTGGCTAGGGTTTAAGGGGAAGGGAATTAAGAAATTGCGAAAGAAAAACAACTATAGAGGAAAAAAGGGACAAAAAGAAAAAAGTTTTAAAAAAAGACAAAACAAAATGTAAAGGTGAAAAATGAGTGGTGTAAAATATGAAGGTGAAAAATGAGTGGATCAAATTGGATTACATGAGTTTAGATCAAATTGATTGAGATAATCTCAACTTTATGCAATCTAAATCTACTCGAAAAATCACATTTTGAGATATATTGCAAAATTTTAACTAAGCAAAAGAAACTAAAATTCAAAACATATACAATGCTCTAAACTAGGAGTGATTTTTCAGGGTGAATAAATTTTAACCTTGAAATATGGAACTTATTTTGTTGACCATAGAATTGATTTGGAACTGAATCGACCCGTTCTAGGGTTAATTGAGATATCGACTGAGACTTTCATTTTGTTTTTATTTTTTTATTTCATTTTATTGTATATACAATATACATGTGTCAAACATGTTATACAATTCTTTTTACTTGATGATAATATGTCAAATATATTTAATTTCAACAAATATTTTCACTTAAGAAAAGAGAGTAAAAACTCTTACTTGGAATTAGGGTAAACTCATATGTGGGTTCTAGATTTCTAGGTAGGACCGGCTGATTCAAGATATAAAACTGGGAATCAAATCAATTAAGGTTGGTTTTTCATTTTTGGAATTGAGTTGAGAACCGGATCAATCCCTTATGAACTGAATGAGTAAGACCAGTTTGGATCGGTTCCACTAGGAACCGACCTGTTGGCTTACCCCTAGTATAAATAAACAATTCTGGAGATGGCCAGTGTTCCAAACCCCACATTCCATTCATAGGATTGGATCCACTTTCTTATAAAGTTTTCATGATTTAGTTTTTTGCCTCTAATTTCAGAGCCTGATGTGACATCCCAAAATGGCAACTCATCCTGCCAATTCACGTGCTGGACCGGCCCAATCCAGTTCAAATCACGGTCCGATTCGCCGATTCAGTGGTTGAACCGCTGGCCAAACCGGTTCATTTCAGGTTTTTGACCAATGGGAGGGCAATGAATAATCTGAAGGGATTAAGGGCCGGTTCCCGGTTCAACCGGATGAACCGCCGCTCCAGGTTTAAGAACCTTGCTGCTGGTTTATCTCCTCCGAGGGTACCTACCTGCGTGGTCTGAGAAGAGACCGAGTTGCATCCTCGTAGCTTGGACTGAGCGACCCGCCATCTCCTGCTCCAAAGGGTATGCTCTTGACTGTCGCTCTCCTCAATTCGATGCATAAAGCTACGATTTTTGGAAGTGATTGGCTTTGAAATTGAAGAAATATCCCTTTCGAATCTGATTTTGCGGCATATAAAGGAAAAGAAAATTGCTTTCTCTCGATTTTTGGGGCGAGAAATTGCTGGAATTCGGGGTCTGAGTCTGCGAAATATGCCAAGGTTTTAGCTTTTGGGGGCATTGATCAATGCCCATCTCCTAGATGTTCAAGGTGGTGGTCTGGTGAGTTGGGTTTCTTGTTCTGTTCTTGTCCCCCGCTTACATGTCAAGCTTGGTATGCTTTTTCATGGGGTCATGTAAATTGGAGTTTAAATCAAATTGTATTTGTAGTACCCCTTGCTTTGAAGAATTTTAAAGGGCTATCTTCATGTGGGACGCTCGGTTTAGCAGACTGAGTCACGGTTTCGGTCACTTCTATCAAGGTTTTAGATCATGACAATTTGTCTATATCTTGTGTATGACGAGTGGCTGTCTTTATCACCTTTTGAAATGCAGTATGAATTGAGGTAGTGGCTTTTCGTTGAATTGCCGCCTCCAGTGGCTGACTGTGGAGAACGAATCGCAAGTATAGGCAAATTTGTGAAAATGGATTATGAAGATCAGAAATGCCAGTTTCAGGACCAGCAGACAGTGAAAGAAGAACCAGATCACGATTCATCTTCCACATCTCTGCCGATGTTGACTGACTGCAGCGGGCAGGACGGGACTGGAGAGAGGCCTCTGCCAAACCAGACCGACATTGTTAAAGCTCTTGAAGTGGTTGAGAGAGACTCTGTCGCAATTGCCGAGAGCTTCACATCTCTATTTGCTTCGCTTCGCTTAGCCCTTTCTGAGGTTAGTTAGATCAGATTGTGCCTTTGACCTTTTCATTTTGTTTCGAATTCCTAGCTAGACTAAGTTGGTTTGATGCCATTTAATTATTTGTAGAGGAGATTCGTGCATCCTAAAGATGAAACTGAATGATTTGAAAGCCCTTTCGGCTTTTCAAGGTTCAGTGTGAATGCTGCAGCATTAATAAAATTATTAGCTATGTTGGTCCCGTCATCTTCATGGAAAGTAAATCATGAGAAGAGATTTGGATTAAATTATACTCTGAAGATAGATGACGCTGAAAGAAATAAAACATTGATGATTGATGATTTATGTAGGTTCTTAGGTAACTTTTGACAGCAAACCATGAGAGGAACTGTGAGCATTCCTTGATGCTTTGTAAATGTTTACTTATGTCACACATTAGAGTTGTCAAGATAAATTTTATAGAGAAGGAATCGTTAGTATTAATAAAGTGTCAAGGAAGACACATTTCCCATGCGCTTTTCCATGTTATCCATGAGCACCTTTGGTATGTTTTAAGGATTATTTGCAGTTGGAAGTTCAATTAGCTTGAAATATGAGAGATTTATTAAATTTTATAAAGCTTGTCTGATGATACTCACATTGAAGGAAAAAATTATGAGCCAAATATAGCATATTAGTGTTCTTTTGAGATGTCTTAAATGTATCAAGTTTTAAGGTGCTGTCCAGTTAAAATTTACATTTCAAGAAGTGTCTTAAAATTTTATTTAGGTGTGACACCTTTCAAAGTCAGAATCTTGTGCTGTTGGAATAGCTCCATATTCTGTTAAAAGAGAAATTACAACTATCACTTTTTGGTGGCTATTCCCGATACTGCAAGCTCTGTGTTTATCTGGCTAGATATTTTAAAATTGCAGGTAACTTCTTGCTCAACAGATCATATGCAGTGCTTCAATGATGCTGCTGGGCGCCTTCAAGAATCTGGTAAATTCTTCAAAATAAAGTAAAAATCTGGTATTTTTTTTCCACTAATGAATGACTACTAGTGGACTAGTAATCCGAAATTTGCTTCGTGAATTAAGTCCATATGCGGAGCTAAATTCACCAACCTGTTCTGGTCAGCTAGCATTTTATGTGCATTTTCTGGCAACATCAACTGATGATGGTCAAGTGTGGAACCTGCTCACTAGTATTCATTTATGGGTTGGATGCACAGCTGGACTGTTGTCCTTGTATATATTGGAGATTAATGGATACATATGTATGTATTTGCGCAAGCTTACATTTTTTACTGGCTAGATTATTCAATGCTGTTTGCTGTTTTTCGAAAATGATATATAAAGACAAAATGTAATCTCAAATGATCTAGAAGTGTAACTAAAAGAAAGTAATTAATGGGATTTTCACAACATTTGGCAATTCGTTGCATGCTTATGAAGCTCATGAGATCTTTCAAATCTTTGTGTTGATTAAGCTGGGTTAGAGGCAGTAATTGGTTGAGGATAATCTCATTAAAATTACTCCATGATATTTTATATGGGCAAAAGGACACTATAAGTGTCATAACTTGTGTACGGAGATCACTTTGGTGCCATAACTTTTTTTCTGATCACTTTGGTGCCAAGTCGGAGGAAAAACGATCACTTAAGTGTCATAAGTTTTTTTTGGATCACTTCAGCGCTAAAATTTTTGAAAAACGATCACTTAAGTGTTAAAATTTTTTAAAAACGATCATTTAAGTGCTAAAATTTTTGAAAAACGATCACTTAAGTGCCAATCTCCGGCGAGCCACGTCAGCTTCAGAAATTAATAAAAAAAAGGCCACGTCAGATTTCCGGCGAAAAATTGTGTACGGCACCGGAGTTGGCACTTAAGTGATCGTCTTTCAAAAATTTTAGCACTAAAGTGATCCAAAAAAAACTTATGGCACCAAAGTGAGCGCCGTACACAAGTTATGGCACTTGTAGTGTTCTTTTGCCATTTTATATGTTAATGGAGGCTTCTTTACGTGTATTTTAATCTCAACCTTGTTGTTCCTTTTCTTTTTTGTAGTGCTTGATGCAGCAACAAAAGGAAATCGGTACATAAATTCCTGTCTAAGGTAGTCAGACTTTGATGCCTAACTTTGCCTTTTGGAACTTCATGTTGTGTTTGTTCATTTTTACTCACTTATGGAAACTCCTATTCTGAACTTTGTCATTCCTTCTCTTTCATGTTTTACATGCAAGGATGTTGTTCTTCTATGTTTTACATGTAGATCTTAAATTGATTCCAGGAAATTTTTTCCTGCGGAAATTAATGGCAAAGTTTTTGCATCTACTTTTCACATAAAAATTCTTACTGTTAATGAGAGAATGAGATTAATTTGCTGGTGTGACTAGAACATTTGATAATTAGCTTCTTTGATCGAGAACAAGGGAAGTGCATTCATGCAGGTGAAGAACCTGTTGCTGCCACCATTTCAGCTTTTGCACTGTTCATTTTGTACTGTGGATATTCTGTTTTTTCCTCATTTGATGGAAACTCAAACTCTTGTATGTGGTACTTAAGAAATTCTTTGAATGACCAGTCATGACAAACATTGCACCTTGTGAAACCTCTGTTGCTATTTGGAATTTAGTCACATGTTGCTCTTTAGTAATTGGTATTTGGAGTGTTAGTAAGTTTTTCGGCTTGGATTCTTGTTTTTGCAGATTAAATGAAGAAATGAAGGGCATGGAAAGTCTAGCGACACAACTGTATCCTTGACTAGATGGAAAAAGTTTTTATTGTTGTTGTGCTGTTCGTCCTAGAACACATTTTTATCCTTTGAACTTCGAAATTCGTTGAAAAGCATCATTTTACTTCTTACAAACAAGCGACGCCCATTCAAGTAAAAGCCGTACAGTTTCTTATTTTTTTTTTCAGTTGAATTTACGGTTAGTGCTATCATTTGTGTTTTCCTTGATATTGCTTCAGAAAAATTCTGAGGAGGAATGTTGATGCTCTAGATTCTGCCGTCAACAAGCTTGTCCGCCTTCCATGACATCGATAAGCTGTCAGTGCATTTCTCTTGCCTTACTTAAAGATCTCTTCTTATTAAAGTCCTTAGTCTTGCCAACATGATTCTTGAAGTGCTGGGCATTGTGTACTTACGTCCTGCTTCATCTATGAGCGATTAGCGAGAGGAGAGAAGATGATCACCTCACTTGTAAGGTTCATTTTCGCCGTTCTTCTGCATCTTTTTCCGTCATTTGTATATCATCCCCCTGAATTTAGATCGGTCTGCCTTCTTCTCTCTCATATTCGTTTTTCCCCTTTGTATTTGATAAGATATTCTCAGCTTGCTGCAAATTTTTGCAATCACAGCTGAGGGGTAGCCAGAATGGCTTGTCATGTGACTACATGTGACAGGCCATGCTCATTTTAGGGAGGAAATCTGTTATTTTTTTGGGGCTCGTTTAACTTGAATTGCCGAATTTGACTAGGACTGTTGGCTTCTATTCTGCATTTTCGAAACTGGCGGGGCCATTTAAGGCAAGTCGCAGATTCATTTTGGGAATCGGTACCGGTCGGAAATTGAGTCGATACGCAGAGGCATCGGGGCCTATTCTACTTGCAAATACATGGATGACCTAGCCAACCTCAACCTAGACAACTCAAGTGCATAGTTCAAGTCTGTCTCGCATCTGATATGTTGCCATCGCGGCCATTACCACCAGCTCCGCCACTTGAAACGATTGCTGTCCTTTTGTAACTCCACCATTGCCACTGCCGTATCGATGGCACGACCCACTAGCTCTATTACGAACATTCATGTGTGCATTTGGAATATGTGAGTCCGCTTTAGTTCAATAATTGAATAGGGTGGGCCCACATGAGGCTCACTTGATTTAATAGTTGTTGTGTCTTCATCTCCTTCAACATCAATGTGATATTCATTAGAGAATGCAATTTTTTCCCAAATTTGCTGCAAATCTACAACGAGGCAGTGCTTAGCCCTCTATGTGTGGTTGTCCGTGTGAGGGGTGTTTATGCATTGAGGCTAGGGTGGTGACAACTCGCTGCATGACGGCAACCATCGATGCGGCAACCGCTCTCTACTTTTGTGTCAACAGTGGCGTAGGTGGCAATGGCCAACGAAACTAGCCCTAGTTCTGTCTAGAACCACCGTTGCCCGTGCTCTACTCTGGTGAAGTAAGCCCTAGACTTTTCACGAAGCTAAGTAAGTCCATTCCGTGCTCTAGTGGCAATGGGCAGCAACACAGGAGCATTGTAGGAGCTTTGGCTGAGAGATCGGGAGATTAAAGATGATGAACAGTAAGAGGAGCTCTCTTTGCGGAAAAGAAGGAAATGAAAGAAAAGAAAATAGTAATTAAAAAATTCTAGAAAAATTAGAAGAAAAAGGCATATCATTTGCAGTAAATTGCCAATCATAACACGCAGGATGGCTGATGATAACTGAACAGCCACATCAGAAATTTCAGGCGAAGCATGATAGGGAAGATTGATTGTACTTTCATTTCAAATTTTAGGGCTACGATGATTCAATTAAAAGATTTCGGACTGAAATTAAATCCGTACAATATATTTAGAATTGATCGTAGGATTATTCTTTTTGCCACTAAACTTTTGAAGATTCAAGTCCCGGGGTTGATTATGTTGAAAATATGTCTCGAGTTGAGCCAAAAGCGAAATCTAAATATTCCGAATTAATATTTTGCGGACATCCGAAATTGAGCAAAAAGGAAATATTGGAAATTTACTTTCCAAATATGTGCCGGAGGAAACAAATATTCTTTCCTAATTGATGTTGGAGTCTACGGCTTGAACAAGAAAGTCCAACGTGGCTTTTGATTAAGACCATGACTCGGTCAACTCTTGGGCACATATATTATATTCTATCGTGGGCACTTTGGAAAGGAGAAGTTGAAGAAAGCATAGTGGTTTTCGTGAAGCCTATGTCCAGAGCAAGAGCGAAGACTTCTTGAAGCGGCGCTGCTTACGAGTGCTTGGCAGTTGATTTTGTTCGTGGAATTACACCAAGAACTCAAGTGTTCGTAGCGATTAAATCTTGTGTTAAGATTTGTGTACAATTCTTTTGCGAGATTGAGAGATTATTTCGTGAAGAATTGTGGGGCTAAACACTGCGTGAGTTATTGGGTGTAATTGGGGCTTGGAAAATACTGAGAGTGTTTGAGTGACTCGAGTGCGGTTGTAATCTCCGTTGTATCGCTTGATCTATAGTGGAATTCCATGCTGCTCTCCCCGTGGACGTAGGTCACTACGATCGAACCACGTAAATCTGATGTCCGATTTATTTTTTTATATAGTCAATTTTATTGTTCGATCGCTTGGCTTCCGCAACATATTAGCCCGAAAATCTTTACTTGACCAGGAATTTATCTAATGTCAACCCTTGTGGTGTCTTCACGGATATGATTGATGACAGCTTTTTCTCTCAATGATGGCATCAACTTTTTCCTCCCCCGCAAAACGTGGTTTTTTCACAAGCAAAACATGGCCATCACTTAAAACAGAAGTTGTCGTAATCAGCAACTACAGAAGACTTTCCGCAAGAGTTGCAATAAGTCAACTCCTCATGGCGAGAAGCATTATATTGAGATAATGATATTTAGGGAGAATGTGACCGAAGAAGATCTGACTTTTGCGGGCACCTTTTTCTGAATAAGAAGCATGGACTCCATAGCCTTCACCAGTACCGAGTTTGTCCCAACCATGGAGGCTTCATCACTTTACACTTTCATTCCTCTAACTTTCCTCCTCCTCCTCCTCACTCTCAAACTCTTCTCTTCATGGTTAAAGCAACCCGAAAACCTCCCGCCGAGCCCGCCTTCCGTCCCCATCCTCGGCCACCTCCACCTCATGAAACTCCCCCTCCACCGAACACTCCACTCCCTCTCCCAATCATACGGCCCGGTCTTCTCCCTCCGCTTCTGCTCCCACCGAGTAGTCGTCGTCTCGTCGGCGGAAGTTGCCGAAGAATGCTGTACCAAAAACGATGTGGCGCTCGCCGACCGCCCCTCTACCGTCGCCGGCAAGCACATCGGGTACGGCAGCACGATCCTCGTCTTCGCCTCGTATGGCGACCACTGGCGCAATCTCCGCCGCGTTTGCGCCCTCGAGATCTTCTCCTCAGCTCGTCTCAACTCCTTTTTGCCCGTTCGAGGGGATGAAATCAAGCGACTCCTGCTTAATCTAAACAAAAGAACATCATCTCGCGAGGACTTCACCAAGGTGGAGCTAAAACCGATGTTCTTGGAGATGACATTCAACATCATTGTAAGGATGTTGACTGGGAAGAGGTATTACGGGGAAGATGTGACCAATGCCGAAGAGGCGAAGTTGTTTCGTGAGATCATGTCTGAAATTTTGGAGTACGCTATCAGTGTGTATCCAGGGGATTACATGAGTATTTTGAGGTTGGTCTTTAGGAATTATGAGAAGAAAGTGTCTAGGTTGAGCAAGAGATCGGACGAGTTATTACAAAATTTGATTGAAGAACACAGAAATAGTCCCAGAAAAGGAGGCGGTAGAGAGAGTCAGGACACCGTGCTGGATCATTTTCTTTCGTTGCAAGACACGCAGCCCGAGTTTTACGCCGATGAGATCATCAAAGGCCTTATAATGGTACGTAGAAATTCAACGATTATTCGCATCTCATCCTCATCATGGAATACCGCATACATACAAGGCGTATCGCCCATTGTCGTATAAAATACATAATTATGCGGATATACATATTAAATTGTAACTAGTCGTTAATTTTGAAGTCTTTTATAATAATTGATCCAATAACTTATGGATTGCAGCAACATTTCTCCTGTATTGATGCTTAGATTATCACCTCTATAATCAACTCTTCCATTTTGACAATTTAATGATGATGTCCTTTCGCTCTATATTCTATAGGTCATCCTTCTGGCAGCCACCGACACTTCTGCTATCACAATGGAATGGGCAATGTCTCTTTTACTCAGTCATCCGCATTCTTTAAAAAGAGCTGCCGAGGAGTTGGATAGTGTCATTGGTCAAGAACGCTTGATAGAGGAGACAGACACTGCAAAACTTCCTTTTCTCCAAAACATCGTATCAGAAACTCTTCGTCTGAAACCACCGGCACCGCTTTTGATTCCACATGTCATCAGAGGATTGCGTCATAGGCGGTTATAATGTACCTCGTCAAACCATAGTATTCATCAATGTATGGAGCATTCATAGGGACGAGAAATTGTGGGATGACCCGACGACTTTCAAGCCTGAAAGGTTTGATAATGGGGATGATGGACAGTGCAAGTTATTGCCATTCGGGCTTGGGAGGCGAGCCTGCCCCGGAGCAAACATGGCGCAACGAGTGATCAATGTAGCTCTGGGATCGCTGATCCAGTGTTATGAATGGGAAAGAATAAGTGAGGAATTGGCGGATAGGACTGAAGGGAAACGAATGACTATGCCTAAGGTGGTGCCATTGGAAGCCATGTGCAAACCCCGTAAAATCACGGCGAAGATTGCTGAGAAGTGAGTGGGAGCCGAGATATTGCTACTAGTTCTTGTACTGTGTGTTCTCAGATTCGCCAAAAAAAAAATAATCAGTTGTTAAGTAGGTCAAAAGTTCGTAACTTGTATCGTCTCGTACAGACTTGTATGATAGTAGTTAAAGTCTTAAAGAAAAGTTTCGTTCTCTACATCATCAGTCTCTTTCATCGTTTTCAGCAATTTATATTTGCAATCCAACGCTTTTGACCCTAGGTTATTAACATGCACGCATCTTATTGCTACACAACTTAAAGTTATTCCTCATTGAGTTGAAGAACGCAGAGACAGTCACAAAAATGGAGGTGGTAAAGAGAGTAGCGACACTATGGTGGATCATTCGCTTTCGCTACAGGAGTCGCAGCCCGAGTATCACACTGACGAGACCAGCAAAGGGCTAATGCAGGAACGTAGAAATACCACAAAACTTTGCATTTGATCCTCGTCATGGCATATCATTCATCTTGTCGAGTAAAATGGATAATCACATATGATGGCCAGCATGTATCTTTTCCCCTTTCGGCATTGTAAGACATTTTCTTGGAGCACTCATTAACATCATTTACGTTTGGAGTTGGAGAAGCAAAGATCTGTGTCGCTTTGAACCAAGACAGATAACAAATTCCATAGTCAGATAGGAAGCACACTTTTGAGGGTTGCAACATTAAAGCTACTCTCTCTATCATCCACCACTCAGTGATATTTATTCAATTTGTTAAAAATATGTCTCAAGTTTGAGCTCAAAAAGGAAAGTTTCCTAATTCAAGTAGGTTTCTTATTTTAAATAGGTTTCCTAATTGAATGGTTTCCTGGTTGGAAAATGTTTCCCAAAAAGAGGTTTTCTAATTTGGATCAAATTCTTGGCTATAAATAAAAAGGGGATGTTATTTGTGAAGATTATCAAAGAGGAA